TACAATGACTTTTGATCTTAGCACTTACCCTAAACTTGTAAACATGTTTGGTTTCACTTTTTCTAGTGAGAAAACTAAGTATTGTTGCCGCACGTTGATTATGATCAACATTTTTTGGTGTATGTTCTCAGTGTTACTGAACTCTGTGCACTTTTACATTAATAATCAAATTACAATCTATATATATATATATATTTTTTTTCCCCCTTTAGGTTCCATTGAGTCGACTTAGTTGAGGTGCCATGGCAATTTTCTTCGTGTATTACAGAATTAGGGACTTGCACTCTCCAGGACAGAATGCAAATTGCGTGCACCAGAGGCAGATGGCAGCTCACACAATGTTCCAAACAGGAAGAGGTAATAATACTGAGCGGAGAAAGAAGAATCACAGCTCAGAAGAGTAGAGAGACGACTCGCATAAACAACTGCTGGAGGAAAAACACTCTACACCGAGAAAATCGGCCTTCTGAGAATACCATGCTTCAGCGCGTAATTGTCCACGCAAATGAGGCCGTGTGCGGTGGGCGTGTGGGGCAGAGCCGGATACAAACGAACATTTTCCGAAGTGAGTCATACACTTGAACTTAATTTGAATGAGTGTGGTGGCACCTTAGGAGGGACAAAAGAATGAATGGAGGAATATAGACAGTATCGAGACGCAGACTTACCAATGACTAGGTTAATAAAATACTAGTAGATACTCAACTTTCAAGGTCAAGCTGATGCTGGACTGATTATTTTTCTTAGATTGCCTATAATCATGTCTTGCCACATCTCCTGAACTGCTCAATTTAGAAACAGTAATACATTTATGAATAGTAATATATTAATTAACATGTTTAAGCAAAATGTTAATATAGATAGGCTGACATTTGTTCTGTCCATCGCATTAAATGAATATGTTTTAGCTTTCTATTGCTGATTAATAAATTATTATAAACTTGCTGGCTTAAAACGACACCCATTTATTATCTCACCGTTATATAGGGCAGAAGTTCGGGTTGGGTGAATTCTCTCCTTAGGGTCTTGCAAGGTTAAAATCAAGGAAGCAGCCTGGATTGGGTTCTCATCTGGGGCATGGAGGCTTCTTCAATGCTCGTCCGGGTTGTCGGAAGGATTCGGTCCCTGAAGGTCATAGGACTGAGGTTCTTACTTTCTTGCTGGCTGTTAACAGGGGACATCCTCAGCTTTGAAGGCCACCCGCCATTCTCTGCCGAATGGCCCTCTCTATAGCATGGCAATGTGTTCCTTTAAGGCCAACGGGAGTATTTGCTACAGCTTAGAATTATGACTTCTTCCATCCTGACCTCTAGACCTTCTTTTAAAAGGACATCACAATTATTATGGATATTTTTTGTGTATAGTTGGACCAACCAGGAAAGTCTTCTTTTTGACTAATTCAAAGTCAACTGATTAGGGATCTTAACTACTTATGCAAAATCCTTGTAATACGATGGTGGAGTGACGCCCCATGATAGTCACAGATTTTTCTTGCATTCGAGGGGAGGGATATATACAAGGCTTGTATTTTGGGGGTGGATATTGGGGTCTCTTTGGGTCATCACAAAATTCTGCCTTTCATAGTCCACCTGCTGGCCCCTAATGCTTCGCTTCCCTCACCCTTTCCCAAGTTTCACGAGAGAAGCACCCCATGATAGCATCAACTCGAAGTCTAAAATCTCACCTAAATCTCACCGGCTCAAAGTCCAAACGCTCACCATCTAAATCATCTAAATATGGGGTGGACGAGGCTCCCGGGAGCAGTCCCGAAGGATCCTCACCTTCCCTCCCCAGGGCACAGTTTCTCTCCATGTATGTGCTCATGAAACCAGAGAGACGAGTTATCTGCCCCAACACTCCACACACACAGCGGTGGTACAGGCATAGGATGACAGGTATAGAGATTCTGGCTCTCAAAAGAGAGAATGGAGAGTCAGCAGGAGTCGCTGGTCCATAACAGTTTTGAAATCCAGCAGGAGACATGTCAGATTCTCTTAATTATGTTTCCGGTTCTAGGACTTGGCCCTCCAGACTCTTAGTTCTGTTCTCCGAGTCAGACTTTCCTTCTCATGAAACGTAACACATTTGCAGCTGAGCGCTTTTATCAGATTGCTTCACGCCATTGCGATTTTGGGGTTCCAACATCCTCTGTTTATTTGGTCTCGCCGATCCGTTCAGTCCAAGCTGACAGGGTTTCTGCTGACATGTTTTTCTCAAGAACCTTGTGGGTCTTTCTTGAAATTCACTGGGTTTTGCTCTCTTAGACAAAAGTCATGCCCATAAATCCGTTTGAGACAATTCCTTCTCTCTCCCTGGCTCCTGCTAACATGGCTGAGCGTCCCTGCCTACATCCTCCCGGGGAGCTCTCTAGTTTGATACAGGATCTGTAAGGCGTGACATTAGCCTCTCGAAAGGACCTTTTCGTTACTGACATGGTAAGCTTTTGGTGTTTCTGATGATTAAGTAAAGGTTGTATGGTTACGATGTTTAGTAAATTTTATTATTTGTTTTGGACATTTAAATGTTAAATAAGTTATCTTTCTTAAAGAATATAAGATAAATTTAATACTTAAAGGTGCGAGGTCTCTTTTGGGGTGCCCATATGTGTGCCCATCTCTATTGGATAAACATGACAAAACAACATAGACAATGAGATGCAGAATAAATTTGTTTCAGTGGAAGCTTACTGTAAATTTATGAGATGTTCAAGGGAATGCTATTGTAATACTCTTATCCAAATGAGAGTAATCGCCTATCTACTGTGTAGGAGCAGAAAGCGTAGGCAGCTTTCTTCCTGTGGAGGAAGAATACCCTGTGTCTTGTGGATTAGTCATTGAAAAGTCTACCCACTGACTGATTTCCAGAGATCATTTAATTATATGCATGGAAACTCTTACCTGTTAGCTCAAATAGAAGTATTTCTAATTTTATATGCACGGTATGATATCATTCACCATTTCCTATGTGAGCAAAATTTTAAAGGCTCATAGCTCTTAATCGGTCTCAGAGCTGACAGGGACCTGAGAGGTGACCCAGTCCCTCCCTCTATCCAGGAAAAATACTTCCCTGCCCCATTCATGCCAGATAACCATCCATTTTCAGACCCAATCTTCCCTGTATTCAGAGTCCACATCCTCTGTGGGCACACATTCAGTTTTGGAATATCACAGCTCCAAAGACTAGACATTTTTTGACTGAATTAGACTCAACTTGATTCCTTATCATTAATAAACATTTATCTTACCTTTCAGGCATTAATCCATATCACTCAACACAAGTCTAAGGTACTTATCACATTTTGAATAACGACGACAACGAAAACCTCTAAGATAAACATTCCCTCTCCTTTCGTTTTTCCTCACAATTCTAGATGCTTCTGCATCCTGTCAGCCTCTTCAATCGATTTCCCTCTCCTCACTGATAACACCCAGAAAAGAACAGGCTATCAAATGTGCAGCTTCCCATGAAGCTTTCTTCTTTGAGTTCTTTATTGTACTTTCCCAGTATAAGCTAATACTGAGAATAAGCATAAGATCGTTTTTGTCAATTATAAAAAAACTGGCTTATATTGAGTCTAATGAAATAAAACCTCAGGAAGTTCTAGGAGTCTGGGTTCCCTTTTACTACCGTTGTTCGTTTAATATTTGACATGTGAGAATATATATTTTAATCAATCCCTACTGCATTTTATGGTGTGGCTTTGATAAAAATTGCAGCTTTTTGTGATATTTTTAAAAACTTGATTATATCATGTAAAATATTAGCTCGTCCTTTCATATTTGCATCATTGAAATTAGATGAGAGTTCTCAATATGTTATTATCCAAGACTAATAAGAATATTGGATAACATATACTCTAATCCCTTATCAAAGGCACAATCTATTGGATATGGTAGAGCAATCGGCAGGGAAACTACCAAATGTGCTACCTTATAGCCTGAATTTCTTCATATTCTAGTCAAGAAAATAACGAGATTTTTTTTTTTTTTGCTAAATACCTTGTTGAAATAAAGACGAACTACTTCTAACATTTTGAACAACTACTAAAATGAAGACATAGATAGCGACTTGCTGTTTAAATCTACAATGATGCTGGAAGAGATACCTAACACACTCTGTGATGGTATCGAGATTTAGGAAGACACCGATATCCGGTACTTCTGGTGTCCTAGAATTCTGCAACTGGGTAATTAGAGAGAAATGTAAGGCCAAAACTATTTACTCACTGTATAAAAGAACTATTTTAAAGATTCAGCATTTATGCATTGAAAAATTATTGGCTACTGTGCCCATCATTTAGAAATCCCTGAAATTTCAAAACTATTTTGTCTTTTCTATTTCAGAATGTATAGTTTCCTATTACAAGGTAGCGATTCATTAAAGGTGAATTTCTCAGGATTATTTTCTATTTGTATAAATTTACTAAATATGAATTATTCAGGGTTTCTAAATACATATCTATTAATATGACTCATTATTTGTTAGAATATAATTTTATAAAATCGCTGTGCTTCGCACTAAGTCTGAGTATCGCCGATTGTGAATTTCAAATATTTTCTGAAACTTTTCCTATTTACTCCATTCCCAAGCGATTCTCTCTTTTGCTTACTTGAATGGGACTCCAAGAGAAGCGTGCTAAAGAGAACTTACAAAACATGTGTATGCAGGTTTTTAAGATTTAAACTCAAACGTCCCCAGAAGCGGCCGCATGAGTCCCATACGCTTCGTGAGAGCTAAACCAGAGACCAAGTTCATCATCTCCCAGTCGCATGGTGGGAACTGCCTTAAGCAAGGCTACGATGCCTACGCAAGAACAAGTCGTCAGAGTGTAACCCGGCGCTCCTGTCGCCGGAGCAAAGCGAAGGGAAGAGACTCTCCGCGATCGGAACAATGAATTCGCTCGATTTCACGACCCCCCCGCGGCGCCCGGGCCCGGGGAGAACATCACGCTCATGCACGAGCCTCGCGTGGGAGGGACCGCCACGCGCGCAGAACCTTACGTTCTTGAAAGGACGTGAAGAGCATCTGAAAGCGGCTGCTGCGGCTGCCCTCGTCGGCCCACATGCGGATCACCCCCAGGCCCGTGCGCAGCATGACGTCGTTGGCCACCGTGCTGCAGAACTTGGCTTTCAGGTCCTCCACGGAGCTGCTGCCGTCGTACACCGCCACGAAGTTCCTCTTGCACTCGTTCGAGTTCTGCATCTCGTAGTCCAAGAACCTTAAGTAGATCTGCAAGACAACGAAGGCGCCGTCATTGCCCCGCAAGGAAATACGACGGCGGAGAGTTTCAAACTCCTTCCTCTGACCGTCTGGATGGCAGTCGGCTTTGTTATTTTGCCTGCGGAGAGCGGTAAGGAAAGATGAATGGGTAAGCTCGAATGGTGTTTCAATTTTTTTTCAGAATGTTACTGTCCTTTTTGTATGCGAAGGTACCATTTTCTACAACTGAGTATTTTTACCCGAATGGCCCTTATGTCTTCTTATAACTTATCCGGAGTCAGTTATTAATTGGCATACTCGTACACTTTTATTTTGATAAAAACCTGTTATAAATATTTCCTGATACATTCCTGTTAAAATTCCATGGCCTCCACTTAATTCTAGAAATGTATAAATGTAAGTAATTCGTGTTAATGCAAAGGGAAACGGAAATGGTGCCAAAAAGTAGGAGTCTCTGATTTCGCTTTGTTTAAATTATGTCACGTGACTTCGCTGCTTCAATTTTGAGGTAGAGTAGATTAAAAAGGATAGCTAACCTGTGATTATTCTCACTGTAATAGAGAGTTAAGCCATTTAGCTAAGTCCACATAAATACAAATTAAATGAACATTTAATGAATAAAAATTATCGTCAGGTTACTTTATAGGTTACTTTTAAATACTCGCAACAACTCTATAAAGTTTTATTATCATGGTTAAATGGAAAAACTCAGATTCGGATGGTAGACATGAGGTCTTCCAACTCCCTAGTCCATGATCCTCCCACAATACGGCACTGCTTTGCACACATACTGTTTGATGACCGACAGGTATTATTTGACTCTGTTCCACTGTGCATTAAACAGCACAAGCAACTGATTCAACCCATGGTAAATCTAAAACGAAGGCATTTGTCCATTCGTCCATCAATGCAGCAGCATCTGCATCCTGGCCTCGTACTTTGTCTTAGATACTATTCAAGGCACTGGAGATAAATGGCAAACAAGAGAATGTGCTGGAAATGTGTGTACATTACAAAGATGGAACATCAAACTGTGAGACGTGATACAAAGCACAGAACCTCTGCACTGTGGGAAGGGTACCGGGATTGGATCTGGAATAAAGAAGGCGTCCTTCGCACAGACCTCTCCTAAGCGTTTTTCATTTTGTCAAATGCGAATGCCTATAGGCTATTTCCTCCTAAAAGCTGTCCTATTAATGTATCACAGATGTAAACTAACGATGTGCATTCAATTAAAAATTCGACTCTTTCGTCACTCCATATTCCGTTTGTCTTGTTTATTTCATAATCTGTGAATCTCATAAGACAAATTTCTCCCAGATCTAGTATGCCTGCCCTGCACTTAAAAGTTTTATTATTTCAGTTAAAAGTGATTTCTCTTTTGCGCTCAATGCTCTCATTGGATCGGGCGCTAATCCTTGTTAATTTCACTCTCAGAATGATCGATTTCCAGCTCCACTGACGCTTCTGCGATATGTCAGTGGTCTAGCAAACGCCTTGGATGCTTCCGCGGCACTAACTTTCCAGTTCACTCCCGAAGTCCGGCCCCATCAAAGTTATATTCCTAAGAAACAAATCTCATCATTGCTCTAAATCTTTAACTGGCTCCAAAATGGTTATAATGAAACACTTTAAAAGCCTTCAACTGGAATATTTTCCCTCTTTATATCTTCAGGCATTACACACTTATTTTTCTAAAAGCTATCCTTTATGTGCATGGCCTTAGTTCCACATAAAGTGACCTTTCTCCCTTGTCCACCAACTTCTTCCTGATTTTCAAGGTCAAGTTCAACGGTAACATACCCAGTAAAGAAGGTCCACTGCACCCACTCCCAACCACGGCAGAATTCTTCTCCACATGCTCTGTGCTAAAATATTATTTTGAACATATTTTAAGCTCTAGTTATAGGTTATATGTATCTTTTTCTAAACTGTGTTCCTGAGCTGGGCCAGTGGCATACTTTTTTATTCTAATCATTAAAGCGCATGTCACATATATTAAACACTCCATAAAACACGAATGGACGTACCTTTGAATGAATGACTGACTGACTGAAAATTCTGGGTTCTTCATTGACTTCATTTATTTAGCACCACCAAATATTTGTTAGGCATCTATATGCCAGTGTTTAAGTGCTACAAATAATGATAATTACATAGAATAATCGAAATACTATTTGCAACAGGAAATTACGTGATCATGCTCAAAACAATGTATTTATAACTCTAAACTATGACATAAAATCCAGACAGTGTGTTGCAGAATTATAAGGAACACCTGTTATAACCATCTTAAAATGAAAAAAAAAAAATGAGGTTTAGAAAAACTAAATAACTTTCTCAAAGTGACAAGGACCCCAAGGTCAGTACCGAACTCAGTTCTGCCTGGCACTCGGCTCCTTACCATGCCACACAGCCTCGCGTAAATTCATTTTAAAATTCTCACAGACTTACATTCCAGAAAGAAAGTTAAAACCTTCAAGAAAACAAGTTACAACAAAATTAATAAATACGCAAGCCAAGCCAAGCCATTTCCAATTTCCTAAGGGTACGAGGAAACATGTTGTCAATCAATGTATAAATGAGATTCATAGAAAAGAAATGTGTCCCTCTGGAATAAATGGCTGTCTTAAATTTTCTCAGAAGATAGAGTGATTTCACAGAAGGGCATTGCTGCAGTCAGAAAGGCGCTCTGCATTTCAGGCCTACGTTTTCCCATGTGACGTTTCTAGAGAGTGTCCATATTTTCCGTGAGAGGTGGCTGGTTTGCATTCATACATGAAGTGCAGGGACTGCGGTCTATTCAGAGGCCATTCTTATCAGACATAATACTATTCGCAGTGGACAGGAACAATTACACTCACTGGATTTTATATACGAAGCATTCGATTATTTTTTAACGTCCTCTTTTTATCGTTCGAGAAAAGAAAGAAAAGATGCCAGTGGGTATTTGGCTCTCCTGGGTGCAGAGCTGCGACTGCAGTTGTCCTTAATGAGAAAAGTGGCTGAGCTTTCTCACGCTCGCTCTGCAGATGTCACTCAAAAGCCCTCCCTGCATTATGGTTTAAGAAATATCTCATCGGTTTCAATCTCGTGCCATGCTGTCACCAAGGCGAAGGATGCCACGGGACAATGGTTTTATTTAAGGTAGAAAACTACAGAAAGCTCTTCATTCTCTCGGCTGAAGAACAGAGAAAATGATCAATGGGATCATATATAAAATGATCTAGCAAAATAGTCCGATGATGGTCTCCTCTCAGTGAGTCATTTTGATGCATTCTTCTTTCTAATTGGTCACAAAGTTTGAGCTGACAAAATGATTTATTAAATAGGACTTAGGAAGCTTTGGAATGTGTAATCAATTTCTAATAATATCTGCCTGCCAATCACGGTAATATGGACAGGAGAATCTCTTTTGTATACGCACAGAAGGTAAATCTAACTAACAATTTACCGAGTAATTTATCTATAAACATTCATCACCAACCGTTCACCCTGGTCCCTCCCTTCATGTCACGATGATATGCAGAAAACAGACGTCATGTGTGGCAATTATTTAAGACTTGCCAGAACAGTTTTGTCCATGAAAAATACCCATTAAACACACCACAGTCCGAGAAACGCTGTCCTTTGTTTCAAAACTTCACACTTTGATCAATAAAGCCACATTCTAAAAAGTGGGCAGCCCAGGACTTGTGTGTTTGCCATTTCTTTTCTTACTGGACACACCAGGTCTTACCCCTTTAGTTAGCATACTCCATGAAGCTGGAAGGCAGCACCATGCAGAAGAAAACCAGAACGTCATACTCTTTTCCAAAACGTTGAAAAAAACACACACCCAACAACAAATCCTGGTAAACACTGTTACAATGCTTTCCTGATGTGCACAGACAAGTAGCAAAATGTGTAAGAGTCCATCCGAGTGGCCAAATCTGATTGTACACAACCGGGATTTCGTTTCAACGCAGAGTTGAATCATAATGATCTCACTGGTGGTTATCTAGCCAGTTAATTTTTTTTTCTTTTGTTCACCTAAGTTCTATTTGGGGGAGATAATAAGGGCAGACTTAATCTTTAGAACTCTGAAAGTTCTCATTGTAATCCATTATAGTTAGTATCCTTTGTCTATTGCATTAGTTTTCTCCTTGCTCCGTAACAAATTACTCCAAATCGAGCAGCTTGAAACAATATCATTTATCATCTCTGGGTTCTGTAGGTTAGAGGAACTTGGAGGCTGGACTGTGTTCTCTGCTCAGGGCGTGTGAGGCTGAAAGCTCAGTTCTCTGCAGTGTTGGAACCAAGGTCTCTGTTTTCTTGACGACCGTATATCGGGGATCACTTTTAGCTCCTAGAAAACATTTTCAGTTCTTTGAGTCTCTGATGGCCCTCTTGCCCACAGCCAGAGAAAATTCTGCTTATAAAAAGCCCATGTGATTAGATTAGGCTCATCGGGGAAAAAAATTATCTTTTAATTAACTCAGAGTCCACTGATTGGTCTAATTGCATCAGCAAAATCCTTTTGGCCAGGAATTTAACATAATCAAGTGTGGGATGTTTTAGCCTACTCACAGTCCCAGGGATGGGCCAGAACCCTTGGGTGTCATCTGTAAGATGTGGCCCACAACACTGAAGTTCATCACAAAATTGACTTCACCACAACTTCGCGATAACATATCGACTTATTATATTGTCAAGTTCTTCTGTTTATTTTTATCCTAATTTTATTCAAAATATTTTTGAGTTAAGTAACAACATATTAAAAATTAGTTTGAAGGTTTAAATGATGTGTAATTAATAAAAGCTAGTGTTTTATTCTCCCAAGACTCAAAATTGTTGAATTATCTTCATTTGCGCCCTTTATAAGCCTCCGACCTGTCCCTTCTCCTGTCCTAGCAGATATGACAGTTTCCCCAAATGACGTGGTTTTGTGACATCGCATTGGACTTGGGAGGCAGGAGATGAAGATCTTGCTTCGGCCCTGCTACTAACTAACCAAATATTTGGGCAGTGACTCATTACAGACTCATCAAGTTTTGGTCTTCAAAGGAGTTTAATATTATCTCTGCCAAAAATTTACTTGACTTTTTAATGATGATACAAAATCCCTGCCAACTCTACTTGGATTCCTTCTGCGGAGTCTCATTTGATCCTTGGGCAGCTCCATTATTAAAACAAAAAACAAAAACCTTCTCTAGATTCAATCCAAAGCTATATTTCTCCATTTTCAAGCGTTCAAATAAATGGTGGGATTTTAAACCATGCCTATTAGCCTCATCCTCTTACTCCTCCATCATACGACAATCCTTCAGATGTTCCACGTTCATGAACGTATCCATTTCTCTAGATATACAAGTTTGCTTTTTACAGTTTTAACAGAATGGCAGGCATTTTGCTTGGCGCCGAGAAGGAAGTACGACCTTCGTGCAGTTAATATTCGAGTAGCTACTATGATGTGATCACCCAGCGTTCTGTTCTGGTGGCTCTTTTCTGGACCAGACCCAGACCTGTACACCAGTGTGGACACCAGTGTACCCTTCCAACATCTTTGCTCTAGAACCTGTATGAACACCGAATCGTTGCTTACAGAGGCAAATTCTTACATCCCATTGCTAACCCATGCAGAACTTCATTATCCTGACTCAGCTTATACATCCATCAGATGAGCTAATGAGAAACAACAGATTTTCAAAGCCCTTTCTGACTCTGGTATTCGAATTCTAAGAAATCTGGATTAACCACATTCTGATTAAAGGAGACCATGTGTATTGCTATAGTCAAAAAAAGAAGATAACAGATAGTTCATCTTCCATTGGTCGAAAGGCTGAGGAACAATATATACGTGACATAAATTTGACTAGAACTCCACTAAGCCATTTAGCACTTTGATGATGCAATATGTTTCTGTCACCAGTTGTCATTCAAATATTCACCGGGAGCCCGAGTTCAGGTTTAAATTGTGTCTCCGTAGTCTATTCCCATAAGCTGCTAGAAACTCCATAAAAGCAGAAAACCCACATAGACAGCCATCTCCAGTTCTTGCTTTTCTCCACGCTGATTCAAAACATCCCTATCCTCTGACCTTTAATTCAACAGAGAAATTACGATGGAGCCATCTTCGTCTGGCTCTGCAGGTGACTTCCCCTTTGGGCCACAGAATGCTAAGTTCTGTAACAGACAGGTACGCTGGGCATTGTTGTTCTGGGAATGGACAAAAGTCAGCCTATTTACCACCTGGAAGAAAAGAGTGAGTGTTTACACGCCCATACAAACCCTCCCTTTAACGATGACAGCGACGTAGAAGTGGGCTATGATGATAAGGCGGGGCTCATATGTTTCCTGTTGAAAGTAAAAAACTTTAAAAAATCCTTACTTCATAGAGCTGAAGGAAAATGAATAGAAAATGAATAGACTTGCATGTGAATCCACAGATTATTATGGGGAGCATAATAAACTTCAATCTAGTTCCCTATGATCTCTGTAGGCAGTTGAGTTTTAAGGCACCGATGGCCTTTGATTTTTTAAAGGAGGAGTCAGTCTTTGCTTGCAATTAGTTTTTTCAAAGATTCGTTCGGATGCAAGGAGACATGCAAATGGCAAAGCTGGAACCTGGACCCTGCTCTCTGAGTCTGTGCTAGAAGTTTGGGGAGAGTGTGCCACCCTTCCGGAAGACGTGGGACCCAGAGAGGTAGCAAAGGAAATGAAGTGAAAAAGACAAACGCATCTCCTGAGCTGCCAGCTCCCTCAAAGACAACTCTCCTTTCCCTCATCCTGAACACCCAGCCACCAAATTCTGCTGTATCCATCCATCGCTACGAGTCCCTTCACCTGGCCACCGTCAGACGCTGGCCTCAGCCACTGGGATGACGGTTAGGGCTTCCTCGGTGGTCTTCTGCTTGAGGTGTCAGCCCCTCCGTCCTCACTTCACAGGGAAAAACTAGTTTCCAGAATGCCGATCTGACCACGGCACTTTCCTGCCCCTCCCCGCGCCCCCCTCCCCCGCCCCACTCTCCACGTGTCCCTGAGGACATCCTAGGTCCTGTTCCCACTGACCACCGGCCTTAACACAGCTTCGTTTCCATGCCAGAGACACGTGGTTGTAAGCCCTGGGCAGTTTCTTCCATAGATATGGTTTTAGGTTACAGAGCAAACCAATTGCAGAGGACAACGAGAACTTGAATGTAACCATACTTAGAACCACAGCTACGTATAACATTTCCGTTCGCTATTCAGAGCAGAGTTACATTAGAGTCTCCCGTTCAGGTTGTCAGATGATCTTCAACACCTTTATGACATGCAGATTACACTGGACCGGGGAAAAGTTGCACGTCAAAACCAAAACAAAATGGTAGCTACGACCGCGCTCTGAAACGTTCTAAGCACGCCCCGTTGGTTGAAAGCAATGCATGATGCAGACACTTCCCAAGGCTGCTGGCAAGTCTGCGTTTCACCTGGACACTGACCTTGGATCGTGGAGGTGCCCGGATGTACCACTTGCAATCCACGGCCTCGCTAGCAGAAGCTTTGCCTTCCTTCATAATTTGCATAGATTCCACAATTCCTTCAGGACCGCCCATCTCAAACTCACACACTAAATAACAAAATGCCAAACAAACACAAAAACGGAGCTTGAATAATAAACCAAAAGTATATATCAGAACAGAAAACAAAGGCTTCTGAACATGATTAAATATCTGTTTTACCAACCTGGTAACGGTTTCAAAACTCCAAGGTCCTTAAAGTCAGGATCTTAAAAATCGAGAAAAAGACAATTAGTCTTATTCTGCATTTGTTAGTTACAGTGATGTTGAGGAATGTACCATTAAAGGACTCAGGAATCTACCTAAAAAAATACCACATTAAGGGAAATTAAATGGTTAAATAAAAACTGCACGATAATGTTAAGACTGAAATGTTAATTTATATAACATTTTTATTACTCCAGATTTTTTCTCAATACAAAATAAGCCGTTTAAAAAAAACAACAACAACAACTTCCAAGGCCATTCTTGCATCTGATCATCAGATAAGAATCTTATTCATTTTCTACTCCATAATTGGACGATAGATGTTTTTGTTAAGCATATCCATAGGTAATTCAAGATTGGGGTAAACCTCCATCTACTCTAGATATAATTATTTTGTTTGATTCGAAAGATCCTATAAATTGTTGAAACACATTTATCAGCTGAAATACTAGAAGCACGAAGTTAGGCTACAAAATCTGAGCCGCCCCCCACCCGCCCCACCCACCCCCAGCAGATGGCCCCATCCTGTTTTCATCAGATTCTCTTCCCTAACTTTTCATACCATGTGGACTTTCAGAGTCCTCAGAATTGTGCTGTGTCCGCTCAACACCCACTCCCTCCCCGGTCTCCCTGTGAATCAGCCGCATGGTCGGATATCCATCCGTCTCTGCACGTGAACGTCAGGGGAGCTTGATTCATCTTGAGCCTCAGAAGAGTCCTTGCTGTCACGGGCCCCAAACAGTGCCCTGCCCTCCATTTCCTGGAGCTGACTTTGGGATAGGCGTGCAGCCTGTGTGACATCACGGTGAGCCTGTTGGAGGGTGGAGGGTTCTGAAAAACTTTTCCCCAATGATCGATGGAGACGAAGCATAGTTTTCCAGGCTCCTGATGTGTCATGTTCGTTTTGGACGCTTTGGGATCGCGTGTGCTACCTTCTGGTGTCAACAGGTGGTG